CCGACCACATGTTGCAAGAGTCACAATAGACTTCTTTCAACATAATGATGTCACATTGTTACCATGGCCACCAAGATCTCCCGACTTATCCCCAATTGAGCACGTGTGGGATATGATGGGTAGGAGATTGCTCAATTTGCAACGTCCTCCTCAGACTCTAGAAGCAGTTCGAGAGGAGTTGGTGGTTGCCTGGAATGAGATACCACAGGAGGACATTGACCACCTGATCAGAAGCATGCCTAGGCGCGTTGTAGAATGCGTAGCACATCAGGGTGCATCCACACATTATTAAAGGTCAAAGGCCTTTAAAGCAGTGCAATCATTTTGAAATTTTTATCATTTACTTATTATGCTTCATTAAGTACTTATACAAAATTTTATTAAAATAAAACCATTTAAACTGAGTGTTCGGATTTATATGTCACTTAGTATATATTACTTTTCCCCCAAGTACCGACTCTAGCCCTCCGGGCGGTGTTTAAATTCATATCCATCGCGTTAGGCAAAGGAATCAGCTAATGACAGGTGATCATTACCTCAGCATATAATTGATTAGGTTTAGTACTTAGTTGCCCTATACAGATATACCACTTTGCATATTACAGCACTATTATGACCTATAGGTATTAAGTATTACTCCATTTTAAGCGCTACCTCTACTATTAAAATTCAAGACGCTCTCAATTATCCTCCAATGTCGCACGCATATTTATACTACCGTTTAATTTTCGCCCTATACCCTGCTGGAAACTGTACTCGCTAGATAATAGCGATAACTGTGAAATATCACTGTACGGTGTATATTTAGTCGAAATGGTGGAGCAGCGAACAGCTCAGGGGCCTCGTATTAAATTAAATACTTTAGTGGGGACAGGACACTGCTCGAATAACATTTGCACTGTGCTTTCTCTTACTATTTGGATAGTTCGGTGAGGTTAAAATTAATTGCGGGGCTTCTATTATAGAGGTCAAACAGGATAACCAGAGATGCATTAGAATTTAATAACACTTCACACTTCATTGTATTTAGTTGCTCATATTCAATTGGACCCAAGAAAAGGATCGAACATTGTCGCTAATTAAACTTTAGGCTAAGTTCACCATAGACTACTGTGAGGGAAATATATTTTGCTTCACACTTCGGGCAAAGCAGGCCCTTTCTTCTGAAGACAACTTCATATAAACTATGGGCCTGATTTTAAGTGAGGTTCGACAGTTGAAATTAATTTCGGTTGGGCTTTGTGACGATACACTTTATTAGCTATGATAATTTTGACACTGTCATGATAATTTGAATATAGAAGATCAATATAATCGGATGTCAAAATTATCATGACGAATCAAATATATCGTCACAAAGCGCCATAGAAATCAATTTCAACGGTCGAAACTCATTTAGAATTAGTCCCCAAATCGCCTTAACGGCTTCATCTGTGATTCAAGGTCATGCGGTTGTGAAATATTAAAAATCCTTTATAAACATGTGTAGGTACCACTTTTTCTTAATACTACATTTTATTTAGCTGCTAGCAGTGGCGTTCGTATGAAATTTTACCTGCCTGTTTTGGCAGTAGTTGATGACACGCCACTGACTCTCCTAAAGTAAAAATTATTCTTGAGATCCCCGATCATTTCTGAAGTAAGTTTGGTTGATTGACTTTTTCAATCCGATGGAAGGTTTTAGCTTAGAGAAATAACATCCCTTTCTATGCATAAACATTCAAATTCAAATTTAAATTCTTCATTTTCTTGTTGATGTTACAGGAAACTCAAAACTAGGGACAAAATAACAGCAAAATAACAGTAAAATGAAATAAAGCAGGTAACAATAAAGACAAATTTTCCACACATAAAATATTAAAAATTTCTATAAGAGAAAGACCCTTCAACCATATAAAAACACTGATTGAAGAGAAACCTTCTCAAAGGAGGTGGGTTGATAAGGGCCATTTTGCGCCCATAACACATTCAAAAATAAAAAGTTCGATTCCAGACTATTATTGAATTTATTTGTGAAGTTCAAGACGTGCCTTTTTTCATTATATAATATTTACAGTATAAATAGTGTAATATGCATCAGAAATTATTGCCAAGAAATTGAGTATTTAGCGCTTTTTGTGCATTTTTGTTATTTTTCGATCTTTGAATCATGTTTTCCTTACGAAGCGTTCCATGAACCACATTAACCTTACTGCTCAGTGAGTCTATTTATTATGAGCTTGTATACGAGTATTTTTGTTTTGGTTCAGTGAGCGTATCAATCCAAAAATTAGTAATATATGCTGCGGGAGAGTGTGAGTCACGCTGCAATCGCTGCGTGTTCAGACATGATTTTTCGCGCTCGAAAAGTATTTACGTCGTAAAGGTATAGAAGCTGTGCCGTGCTGTCGCATTCAATGTTTATAGAAAAACTTGATAAAACAATAATGCCTGGATGCCAGTGTGATTGTTGTAAAACGTGGCGATTAGAACTAACAGTGATTTCCGTAGCTGCTCGAACAAAAACATTATAGCAATACTTAGAAAATCTAAAAATTATGATCTGCAGATTGGTTGTAAGTTGTGTTTCAAATGCAGATCATATGCATTCCGTGTGGCTCAATCTCAAAAGACTCCCACTTCATCTTCTGTAAGGACAACAAGAGTTCTTACTTCAACAAGTACCTCTGATGATTCTGAAGGATGTTCTGATAGTGATTCCAATCAAGAAGACAAGAAAGAAGACTAGTAAAAAATATTTCTAGTGTATGAAAACTAATTATCCTTTATTATTGTTTAATAAATATATATAACACTCAGATAATTATTTAACTTATGTATACCACGAATTCCAGTTTTCATTTGAAACAAGTATGATTTCTTCTTTGTTATGGAATATACTCTTCATAAATATATATGTCATATCTATTCGCTGATGGGCGAAAAAAGGCTCTTATCAGCGCACCTCCTTTCGATTGAAGGACCTCACGCTTGTTTCTGACATTATGTTATCTGGTAGATTACTGAAAATTTTCAATCCCAAGGAATATGGTGAGACTTGGCATTCATGGTTACGAATGGGTAAATGAAATTGACATTTTATTCTGGTATTGTGTGTGATTACAAAAAAGTGTGCTTATTCGAAAATACATAAGTGTCTATTTCTGGTATATACAAAGAGGTCAATGTCGGTATTTTTAAACAGCTCCATACTCGGCCCATAAAAGATAATCAATAAATAAGGACAGCTCAAAACAATTTAAAAATTTCGAAAAACGGGTACATACGAGTAAGAGGATTATGATTTACACAGCTACTCACAGTGGCTTGTCCAACTCAAACACTCATCAATAAAGACACCAAGAGATCTTATATCTTTTTTGTTCTCTAATAATGAACTATTGACATTTATACTGACTTAATCCAATTTGCGCTGATAATTGTCGAATCTGAGTACTTCCGCTTTCCTGGCTTTAATAAATAATAGTTTAAAAAACTAAAAAACACGCTTTTGTAGCTAACCGAACTAAAAAATAGAAAATAATTCTTAATTCCAAAGAGTTTATATTACAGTAGTAGATGTTCGAACAATCAATCATAATTAATGACCTCAGAATAAAATTATAATGAAATTTCAGTGTTATTAACAGAATAATTCAATTCAGAGTAAAAAGCGTGAGGTGCTTGATATATTAAATGTTACAATAATGCACGCCACGCTTTTCACCCTAAATTGAATTATTCTGTTAATAACTTAAATTTTATTTTAATGTCATTAATCATGATTGATTGCACGACCATCTACTACTGTAATATTAACTCCTTGTAATTAAAAACTATGTTCTACTTTTTAGTTCAGTTAGCTATAAAAGCGTGTTTTTTAGTTTGTTTAACTATTATTCATTTTTCATTTTACAGTTAGATTTATTAATCAGTTTTTTGTGGACATGTCTTACGAACCATTCCGTAATCTAATCATTCCATTTAAAGCTTCATTGTTGCATGGGGTTTCTCTTGTTAACTTAGAGCAATCAATTTCTTCAATCCGAATACCGTCTAAAGATCTTACGCGACTAAGTGTTACATAAGCTTGTCCAGCAGCAAACTGTCACGAACCTAGATAAACGACTACATGATCGACTGTACAACTTTGCATCTTGTGGACGATCGAAGCCCAACTCAGGATTAATGGCAGCATTCGCAATGAACAAGGTGAGAATGCACTACTTTGAAAAAGTATCTGCCTCCGTGCTGTGCCGAGTGTCCGAACCAACAAAGAGTAAGGCCGTTTGCACACACACCGACAAAATCGGTGCCGGTAACGATGCCGACATCGAATGCAATGTAATAAAATGAATATTTTCACACGTAGCCCGGCCCGGTTTATTTGACGGTCCGGTCACCGATTCCGATTCATGCAGTCGGTGGTGAACTCGACAATCGGACCACGCACCGGCTTCCGATTTGCCGATTCCACTCTTCTACAATCTATACTTGTCCACACAGGCTCATGCGTTCCGGTGCCGGGGATATTTATGCATCTAAGTTCTTAGTATATCGCTAACCTCGTAGGAAGTGCATACATAGGGTCGTTTGCTGTTGGATATTCATTGTACCTTTCAACTTTTTTGTACTGACAATGAGTAGAATTTTCAAGTATGATGTTGTGACTTTAATCGAAGCAATAGAAAATAAACCTTGTTTGTGGGATAAAACTGCAGATTGCTTCAAGGATAAGATTGAAAAAGAAAAAGCGTGGAAGGACGTGTGTGCGTTTTTTGAAGAAGATTTCCTAGAAAAGGACAAAAAGGAACAACACAAAATAGGTAAGTCAATATACATATATATTGAGCAATAGCAATACACAATTAATATAGTTATTATATTTTGTCCATTTGCCACGGCAACATCCCTGCAGTAGTTACAAAATAATCTGCGAGACAATCTCTCAAATAACTTGCATTTTTTGTTGGCCTAGTACAAGGAGCTATTTGCACATTTGGTAGCTTTTGCTGGCTTACATACATTTCTAAATTGTCGGCATCCCTTATTCGCACCACATTATGTAAAACTACACATGCTTTAACAATGTCTTTAGATAATTGTTTTGATACGTTTAATGCTCTGTGTAGAATTCTCCACTTATTGGAAAGTATACCGAAAGCACATTCAACGTACCTTCTTGCCCGAGTTAATCGGTAATTGAATATTCTTTTTTTCTCAGTAAGATTATGTCCAGCGTAAGGTCGCATTAGGTTTTCTGATAGCCCAAATGCTTCATCCCCTACAAACACATAAGGAAAAGTATCTTTTCCAGTTGCTTCTAATGGACAGGGTGGTGGGATATGTAACTTGTTTTCCATCATTAATTTAAAAAATACTGTTTGTTGAAATACAGATGAGTCGCAGTCTTTACCATAAGCTCCTATATCTACATATATGAATTTATAATCAGAATCAACCACGGCCATAAGAATAATGGAAAAATAACCCTTGTAGTTAAGGTTCATTGAACCACTATGGGGAAATCTGTTAACTCGTATGTGTTTTCCGTCGATAGCGCCTAAGCAATTGGGGAACTGTGCGGATTTTTTGAAGTTATCTGCTATACGTTGCCATGTTTCCTCCGTAGGCTGCGGGAGAAATTCGTCTTTTAATAAGTTCCATAAAGAGTTGCATACCAAACGAACAGTTTTACTTATTGTGCTTATTCCGATTCTATAGTAGTAGTGCATATCAGTAAATGTTGCTCCAGAAGCAAGGTACCTGAAATTTAAAAAGCACTTTTATCAATATATCGCGAACTAAAAAATAAATCTAAAAATTTTAGTTTTGCATAATTTTATTGTACGCTTCTATGATTTTTAATTTTACTTATAGGTGAAGCAATTCGTGGGAAATGGCAAAATATCCGTGACTCTTTTGTGAAGTCATTGAAGAAAAAATCTGGACAAGCCACTACAAAAAAATATATGTACCATGATAACCTAACATTCTTGCTGGAAGTGGTACAATCAGACGACACGCAGTCAAGTATTGATGACACCCAGGATAACGAGCATTCTCTGTTGAAAGAAACCCAAAACGAAGCCGAGAGGGAGTCTGAAGTACAAGTGCAACTCCAAAAAAATATCAACCCTATGCCTGCAGGAAACAGGAACACATCAAAAAAACCTCGCTTGCAAGAAGATGTAGATAAGAGAATTTTAACAGCCCTAGAAAAGCCACCTGACGAGGATGAGGCATTCTTTCTGTCAATTACTCCATCAGTACGAAAAATGTCAGAAGATGATAAGCTGGAATTCCGCATGAATGTACTTCAATTAATAAAAAATATTAACATGCGTAACAAAATGCAATCGCCAGCATTTGCCAGTCACACATCTACATCAACCTCTCGATCATCAACGCCATTTTCACACAATACATTTCCACTTTCCAATAATTCCAGTAATAGTCAACATGCTCATGATTTTCAACAGAGTCAACAGCAGTGTTTACCTGGTAATCTAGCCCAGCCTACCTATAATAATCCCAGTTCAACTTTATCTGAACCCACTATAACCTTTTTTCAAGACCTCTAACCTATAAACTTGTTAACAAATAAACATTAAAAACAATAAGATGTGTATTTATTTATATTTACTCACCTTATTGTTACTGCGACCATTTCCTTTGGAGGGATACATGCTCTCATTGGAGTATTTTGATGTTTGATACTGTTTAATAATCGTTCCACTATGAAATCGAAAGTATCAATACTCATTCTGAAGTAATTGAAGAATTTCGAGTTGTCTTTCCTAAGTTTCTCAAAAAGCGTGTAGAAGCTACCTTCTAAGTATCTGACAGTCAGCAGAGGATGCACCCAATGTTGTCTTACTTTTTTAGCTTGTCGATACTTCCTCCTGAGATACAATAACCCAAGGAGATAACGTTTATTAGAAGCAGAAACATACATCTTTCTTTTACCACTGCCAAACACCGAATAAAATTGACGGCACGGAAACGCCGGTATGTGTGAAATTAAATGTTTTCCGGCACAGGAAACGGTACCGGCACCGGCACCGATTTTGTCGGTGTGTGTGCAAACGGCCTAAGTCCGAAACTGCACGCATGCGCGGCTCGCGCGCTACCACCGTCTCTCTAACTCCCCTACAGAGGATGTATAAAAGAATTTATCAATCCTGACGGTCCTAATAATGAGAATGGAAAACTGTTATCAAATTATCGCACTGTCATCGGTCCTTGATACGTGTGCAAAGTAGTTAATCAAACTTCTCGAAATTGCTGAAAATTATGCTCATAGATTCAGTTACATATATTCAGGCCAACCTAATCAAACCGTGATAAAAATGAGTTCAAAAAGGTAATCAGTTTCGTCAAGGACTCTATGCATTTTTCTTGGAGGTCAACATCCTCTTTCGATAAAACAAAAAATGTGGGTCATCCGCATAAACTGTATATTTAGTGGTGAGCAAACCATCAGAATAGTACCCTGTGGCACACCCTTCTGAATTGGCTTGACCTCAGAGTTGATGTTAGAATATATGCCGTTGTATTCAAAATTGATAGATATATATTGCCTCCGATTCTCAAGTAAAGAGGCTTCCAACCTTTCAACAACTCCTTTTGTACCATAATGCAGTCAAATGCCCCACTCAAGTCACAAGAAATAGCTACGACACATTGGCCTGCGTCAACATATTCCATTAGTTCTATGCATATAAAAGGTAGTTATTGCTGAATTTGATGGTCTTCCTTGCATCGTCACAAACTGTCGCTAGCATGGAATATCACCATGAAGAGAAGTTGCCTTTATTCCCTTAGTTAAAACCAGTGCGTCAAGCTGAAAAAGCCTAGAGATTAAATCTGCTCACAAATGAAAACAGCTTTGATATTTTGAATTTCAAGAACAACATCCTCTTTCGATAAAATAAACAAAGGTGGGTCATCCGCATAAGCTGTATATTTAGTAGTGAGCAAACCATCAGAATAGTACCCTGTGGCACACCCTTCTAAATTGGCTTGACCTTAGAGTTAATGTTAGAATATATGCCGTTATATTCAAAATTGATAGATATATGATATATATTGCCTCCGATTCTCAAGGAATGAGGCTTCCGATCTTTGAACAACTTTTTTTGTACCATAATGCAGCCAAATGCCTCACTCAAATCACAAGAAATAGCTACGAGACATTGGCCTGCGTCAACATATTCAATTAGTCCTACGTTTATAAAAGGTAGTTATTGCTAAATTTGTTGATCTTCCCTGCATCGTCAAAAACTGTCGTTAGCATGGCAATATCACCATGAAGAGAAGTAGCCTTTATTCCCTTAGGTAAAAACAGTGCGTCAAGCTGAAAAAGCCTAGAGATTAAATCTCAAACAGCTTTGATATTTTGAATTTCAAGAAAAGTTAGTGGCGTTGTACTGATTTTCTATATATCTACATGGCATACGTATGAAGTTCTCTTCTTAAAATACACCGGAATTGTCCCCTTTGATATTCACATTCGATTAGGAAACACCCAGTATAAGTATATTGTTACGTAAGCAAAGATACAATAACCGTTACATTAGCGCAAGCAAGAGTCAAAGTTTCAAAGAAAATATGTTCCCATCGAACGTCAACTGTAACTAAAAGACGTGTTTACTGATTCTATAGGGTGAGTCAAATTGGGTTTCCACATTAAAAGTATTTTAAAAAAAGAAGAAATTGAAAATTATAAAAAAGTATGTATTTGTCCTTTCAGGGCAGTTCATTACAATTATGCTTGAAAGATGATATCAAGTAAATGACGTAATGCGTTTCGAGAAATTTTCGACTAGTCCGTGGCACAAATCAGGTCCTATGTTGGTAATTTCGCGTCTGATCTCCTGTTTCAGCTCCGAAATTGCATTCGGGTTATTCCTGTAGACTTTGCTCTTGAAATACCCCCAAATAAAATAATCTAAGGGAGTTAAATCACAGGATCGCGGCGGCCAATTAATATCGCCGTTACGTGAAATAACGCGACCTGGAAACTTGCCGCGCAGTAATTGTATCGTTTCTCCTGATGTGTGACCTAGACTTCAATTCCTGTGTTATTTGGACTCTGTATGGGTGTAGCTTCAAATCTTTTGTTAAAATCCGCTGTGTAGTGGAATAAGTAAAGTCCAGTTGCTACGATCGATGACGAATCGGGGTTCTTGGATTTTTAGCCACACTTTCGACAACAATAGCAATATTGTGTTCCGACCGACCTCTGCGAGCATGCCTAGGGGTTTTGGTGTTAGCGACGGATCCAGTTTGCTCAAATTTTTCCACCAAATTCCAAACTGTCCTCTCACCAGGCCGATTTTGTGCATCAAAAAATTCACGTAAAGCACGAAATGTATTCTTCCTTGATCGGTCGTTTTCATTATAGGCTTGGATAATTTTAACACGTTGTTCGGTCGCATATTGCTTCATGACTGCTTTGTTTATATTTTGATGTTAGAAATGGCACGTTGTCGTTGACAAATTCAGTGGCGTTTCAGAAAAAATTTATTTGTAATGTGGAAACTCAATTTGAATCACCCATTATATTCCTCAACACACTAACTTATAACAACACTTATCACTAATTTATAACACATAATATGACTAGTCGCGGATAGCGTCGCATCGACTGCCCTTCGCTCTCTCACGTCTGGCCTTTTGCAAGTGCATTGCCTCCTCTAGAAATTTCGAGTCCTGATCCTCTGTGATGGTCTAGGTCTGTAGCTCTGATGGTCATCGAAACATGGTGCCAGTTCGCGACAGCACGACAGTGTGTTTCGTAATCTAGGATTGCTTATACCAGAAATATGTGCTAAAAACAGTTGCTGCATTATCAATCATACAGTCACATATTTCTAATCCGAACACTTGTTGAAGTGTCAACTTTAATTTGCCACTCGTATGGATAAAAAAATGTTTGTACCAACAATTTTACTATAAATACGACGACGAACAGACTGGTTGAATTGTCATACAAAGCACACAAAATAATATAAACTGAAGTGTAAACTAACTGGAACTGATACGATACGAGTCGATAGCGCGAGTTTATATTTACTGCAAGCTCTTTCATCTGGTGAACATTCACAAGTATAAACATTCGTTAAACAACGAAAACAACTTTTTGCGGTCAACTAACCGGTTAACTGCACTGGATGGTTTTTTGTTTTTGCCAATATATGAATGTTAGTCCAGTCATTTGCAGAATATCCATAAAGGTCCCTGTTTGAGGGTTTTTTGTTTTTACTTATAGAGGTATCTCACAGTCTCTAATGCAATGTATTTCTACACAAAGTGGCGTATACACTGAGAACCGAATCTGACGGCTCGAGTTCAATGTGTACAAGAGAGAAGTGTGTATAGACACATAGAGGGTGTTCATTTGAAAACTTCCCACCACTGATTAACAGAAAAAACACAGAGACACATTACTTTTTATTGCAATAAGTGTTTAAAATGTTGCCCGTGTAGGCGATGTTCAAATTCCTGCCGGACACTTTCAAAAACATTTTGTGGGAAATCATGGCAGTTTTCGATGATGCGTTCACGAAGTTCATCCACACTTTTAGGTTGAGGTATAAATACAATAGATTTCGAATAGCCTAATAGAAAAAAGTCTAATAACGTCAAATCAGAAGACCTAGCAGGTCATTCTAGAGGCCCTTTCGTCCTAGCCATTGATCTGGAAACTCGTCGTCTAACCATTGCCGAAACGGAAGAACATAGTCAGGAGGAGCATCGTCTTGCTGGAAATACAGGGTGTTTCAGTTTATTATTGCATAACTTTAAGATTCGATAGAACTTTTCAAATTAATGCATAAAGTCTATATAAACATGGGTCGAAAAATGCGTGGCTTCCGAAATACAGGGTGTTTAAATTTACTTACAAATAAAAATAAAAAAGGGTTCTTTGGTACGACAAAACGAACCATGGGCATAGTTTTACTGTAGCCGCTAGGAGGGCGCTCTCTACTGTACCTGTAGTGTATTAAAATGACCGAAAAATTTTTCTTAGTGCAATTTTTTGCTTTTTGAATAAAAAAACTGATTCTTCGCACTTTTCAACATAAAAAAGCTTTCTTGTGAATGTTCGTTATAGTTAGCCGTTTTTGAGATATTTCGATTTTTAAGGTTCGATGCATTTTTAATTAATTATGATAAAATAACGTTAAAAAGTCAGTATCTCGATAATTTTTAGAAGTAGGCTGTGCCTGCAAATATTTTTGAAATTGAAAGCAGAATAAGGTTAAACGTCAATTAGTTGACAGTTAGTTTTGTCTGTTGAAACCTGAAACGTTTTTTTGCAATTGTAAAATTTAGTTTCTTTTACCAGTTTTTTTCTTGTAAGTTTTATAAAAATGCCATTTTTATTCTCCAATCAAGAGTTAGCGGATATTCATTTTGTGTATGGCTTTGTAAATGGAAACGCAGCAGAAGCAGCCAGAGAATACGCACGAAGATTTCCAAACAGACGACATCCAACTCGCTCAGTATTTGTAAGAGTGCATCGCCAAATAATTGAAAATGGTTTTGGAAATCTCCAAAGGCATCAAAACATAAATGTTCTTCAGCGCAGATTTACCCGTATGATTCTGCGTACGTTTGATAGAGATCCGACCACAAGTGTTAGGAGACTTTCTGGTGCCTTGGGAATTTCAGCAAGCCATGTTCACCGTGTTCTTAGAAATGACCATTTGCAACCTGTGAAAGGACTACAGCCAGGGGATGGAGAACGAAGAGTCACATTTTGTCAGTGGATTCTTGATAGAACTGATAATAATAGGGAGTTTTTAAGTAACGTTTTATGGACCGATGCGTAATGCTTCACTAGACGTGGGGTGGTAAATTTTCATAATCAACATATTTGGTCGCATGAAAAACCGCATGCAGTTGGGGAAAGAAATTTTCAGCATGAATTTAGTGTGAACGTGTGAAGTGGTATCTACCGTAATCGACTATTTGGACCCTACCTTTTGCCTGCAAGGTTAAATGCTGCGACCTTCTTGGAATTTTTAAAGGCTGAACATGCAAATATGTGGGATGATGTTATGTTAGATTTAAGAAGATTGGCCTGGTT